TGCGAAGAGCCTGAAATGAAATGTGAAAACTCCGTTACCAGTTTCCTGGAGCGGAGTCAATTTTCGCATTTTGATTAGCTACTTTCGCGCATAGCGGCCTATTGATTTGCGCAACCCGAGTTGCGCATCGCTCTGAGTCAGTTCGCCAACTTGTTTGGCGAATATTGTCAAAAGGCATTATTTTTGCGAGTTGCGCAACTCGGCCAAGTTGCGCAACCCAGATTTTGCTGAAGTACCACGCCCTAGAAGGCGCACGCAGCTCCCGAGTACCTTCACCTCATTACGATCACTCGAATGCCTCATGCTGGAGGCTTTCAATGCGATTTCGGCAATTTGGGCCGCCTGAATTCTCTTCAACTGAAAGACTGCTAGACTCTTCCTGCCTCCCGGAATCTATCGGGTAGCTTGCCAATCTAATACATCTGTCCATCAGCGACTCCAGAATGTTCCACCCGCCTGATACTTATTCCAAGCTGTCATGTCTTGTGCTCCTTGAAATTCGCAAATGCAGTTTTTTTTCTCCGCTGCCCACGAATCTCGGGCATCTGCAGGCACTTGAAGGCATATTCATGGAGGAGGTGTTTGGAATATTCAGGCTGCCCGAGACTCTCAGGCAGCTGTAGTGGCTGCGGCGCCTCTCCCTTAGTTGTTGCTCCGGAATAATTTCTCTGCCCGGGTCATTGACTCTTGTCTCATCACTCACCTGCCTCGACCCGGTTACCCTATCACTTCGAATAATGCCCAGCAATATCGGGCAGCTGTCAAAACTTCGGAATTTCAAGTTGGATGCTCCATGTCTCACACGCTTCCAAGATTCCGTCACCTAAGCCACTGCGCTCCAGCGACTCCCTAGAAGGCATCCAACCTTCGATGTCCCTGCCTGAAGAAAACATGCAGCTGACTTCTTTGGAGGTCTTGATCTTAGCCACCCTTCCCTGGGTTTCCCACCTGCCCGAATCCCTCAAGCAGCTGAAGAAACTGTGGGTGCTGATGAGATACAAGTGTGAGTAGTTGCAGCAGCTGCCTGACTCCCTCACCCAGCTATCTTCCCTCGACAGATTGGGCATGTCTTTCTGCCAAGCGCTAGCTGCTCTGCCATGGGGTCGGCCAGCGCAGCCTACGCACTGTGCATAGTCGACTGCAGAGCCCTCACCCACCTCCCTCCCTTCTTTTCCAATCTATCCTCCCTCTAGTGCCTGGAAATTCGGTTCGCAGAGAGCCTCCGAGGCGGGCTGCCTGGGTGATTGAGAAGCCTCAAGCGGTTGGACCTCTGCTCCCTGCCGCACCTGCCTGCCCTCTTGCCGTTGCTCCCTGGCCTTGCTCTCTCACTCACCAGCCTAGCACTGCTGCACTGCAAGGGGGTTACGGAGCTGCGCGACGAGATCGGATGGCTGAGATTGCTTGAAGAGCTCACAACCGTGGGCTTGGATGGATTGGCTTCGCTCCCTCCATCGCGGAAAAGGAATTGGCCTACAATTGGACACGGTAGTTTTTCGCCGAGAAAGTGTCGAGAAAACCTCCCCAACCTCACAGCAAGTCGCAGAGCCAAAATTCACATGTTTACAGTGAACGCACACGTCACTCAAATGTGACATATCCGCAACCTAAGTGTGCCTAGATTTCAAGAGACCACGTGGCCTGTTTGAATTGGTTCATTGAACAGTGTCCGTGCAATAGTTTTTTTGCGTGATTCGGAGCTTCCCCGCTGTCAGAGTGCGGTTCGACGACGGGGGATAGTTGGCCACACGTTTTACAGTAGACACCCACAACGATAAGGTTTGCGAAACAATTGGCAGGCGAAAAACTTTTGTGACTACTCCGAGACACATGTACAAGTTCTGATTGGTGAATGTACAGTGTACCAATCAGGTAGCTCGAAACCACCAATCCCATCCACCCAGTCCACACCACACCTCCAACCACTCACCTCCATACTGACATGAGCTGCACCCCCATCCCAATCTGACGTGTCCACCTAAAACAAGGATAAAATGTCGGCTACCCTCTTTTCAAACCACGTCAATGTTGCTAACTAACCGAGTGACATATCAACACTCTGCCTTATCCGCACATCATCGCATCCCCAAAACACAGCCAACTACGGCGCTCCACAGCGCTCTTCCTTCACCAATGCCATCTTCCGCCCAACCACACCCATTTTTCTATCACTCCTCACTATCTCGACTCACCATTCCCACCTGTACTCACAGACTGCCCATTTTGTCGCTAGACCTGGTAGCACCTGCATTCCCCGGCTTTCCCCATGTATCTTTCACAACTCACGACACCTCTTTCGATTCTTCATGTGCTGTTAATGACCTCCGAGCGTTCGTTGACCGGTGGGAAGGGGCATCGATAGTGTGCATGCGGAGTGCAAGCCCAACTCTCCTCACATTCTCTTGTTTTATTTCCTCATGTTGTATTGTGCTCCTTCACGTGTGGGATGTCACATTCCGTTTCTCATGATAATTCCCACCTTTTTTCCCATGGTATGTCCTGCAACTTTGTGTTATCTCTTATTTCTTTTCACATGCCTAACACTTTCTTGTTGCGCCTATAGTACCGCTCTCTGAGGTCTTGCATCCGCCGGTATACACGGGGTAATAAACGGGGTAACGTCTTTCTATTCGCATGTACAGCTCTTCCTTTGTGATGAGCCGCTGCTTGTTCATGGCAGTACCAACACACCCATGGGCAGTGCAGAAGACACATTACTCCCATCCCTGCGGAGCCTCCAGCTCATGGGTCTTCCCTTTCGATCGCCCACCCCGTCATTCTCCTGACTCTCTTCACTGACCAAGCTGCACATTCAGGACTGTGACTTGCTGCGCTCACTCCCTCATTCAGTATCTCACCTGTCGAGGCTGCAGGAGCTCTTGATATTCATGGAATCTGATAGCATTGCCAAAAGCAATCTGGTTCTCGATGCTTACTGCCCTTGACCAGGTTTGGCTAGAAAGTCTGCATGAGCTGTCCGTGTTTTTCGGACAGCTGAGAATGCTCCTGACATTGGACATCTTTTTTACCTGAAGTGAACAAAGCTCCTGGATTTGTTCCCCCAATCTCTCCAAGCTACACACGCGCATGCTTCTCAACTTGAATATTTCGTGCATTCCATAAGACCTTTGGACACTCTCCTCCCTCAAGACCCTGTTCTTGGTAAAACTCCACAATCTTTGGAACCTGCCCGAGTCATTCTTGCAGCTGCCCCGGTTAGAGAAACTGAAAGTATCCAGGTGCAGCATGTTTGCCAGCACCCTCACCAGGATCTTGTAAGTGCTATTGGGCAACCTTGATCTGCAGCTGGAGGAGAGCTGTGCCATAAAACCCTTCTACCAACTTCATGAAGTCCTTCTCCCGCTCTTCCCTGTTCTGTTCGAAGACCTCCTTCGTTAGCCCGACCTGGCCCGGGGACTTCCCTCCTGCCATTTGTCTCAGAGCCGCCTATACCTCCTCTGCCATCCAGCTGCTGGAACTCCATCCCCTCGTGTTCCGTGAGTGACTTCCCCTTTTCAGGACACCATGACACCACACCGCCAACCTGGTCCTTCTTGCCGAACACCTCTACGAAGAACTGAGAGGCCGCCTTCAGGACCACTCGCGAACCTCTGAAATCTTCCCCATTATGGACAACCTTCTCGATCGAGGTCTTTGCCTTCCGCGCCTGAATTTTCCCCGACAGGAACTTCGAGGGAAGCCTCCATCAAGCTCCGCCTTCACCCCAGCCATCAGCTGAAGCCTCTCAAGTGCTGTTAGTACTTCAGCCTCGTGTGTTGAAGCTGGAGCTCCACGCGCAGAATAGCTGAGGAGGGGTTCCTCATCACACATTGCCTCAACTCTCCCACCGAATGCTCCAAATGATAGGTTGTCGCTTTAACCCTCTTCCTTTCTTCCCTGGTGCACGAATGCAGGTTGGTGTTCAGCTTCCTGACCAGCTCCACAAAGTCACCCCTCCCCTCCGAATGGTGCCGCGTCGTTACTTTTTTTATGAGTGCCTTTACCCCAGGGCTGCCGACGAGCGATGCATGAAGGCACCAAATCCCAGGCCCCGCAGCCTCTCTAAACTCAGCACAGATCTGCAATTGAGCCCCGCACCAGTGGTCCGAAACACCAATGGGACCATCATGGTGGTGCGCCTCTACCATATGTGACATGAGATTTGAAGAACTGCACCACACAGGCATTTCCAGCCGGTGAGCCTAGTCGGGACGTTGTGTCTAAGCGGATCATCTACGACGTTCAGGTCACCGATAAGTATGAGATGAGCACTACACGGCAGAGCAGCGACAAAGGGGACTAAGCAACACTCCTGTCTACCAACATCTGCCGCGTAACACGACCATGGTGAGAGCCAACTACTGCTGACACGGCTGCGACTTCTTCGACTCCAACCCACACTCCTTTGACTCCAGCCTCAGCAATAGCTTCCCTTTGTTGACACGCGTCGATGAGTCCACTTGCAGTAGGCGAGTACGGTGATGTGTCTGCAGGATGTGCGCCAGCGCGTGGGCAAATTAAGCTTCGTGCGCCTTGTGGCAGTACCCCTGAAGGCAAATCCACCACTCCCGATCGACACCCATCGAGATCAGGACCAAGGAAGGATCCTTCAGGATCTTCTTCATGCCATCTGAAGCCTTTAGAGAAGATCCAGTCACGAGCATGGGTTAGCATTAGCAAGGTCAGTGGAAACTGGGAACAGGCAATGACTGGGAAGGCAAGACAACCAGAGTTACTGTTCAGGGCATGCACCCTCTCCAAGGTAAGTTTCCAGTTGCTAATGCTGTTCTGGCGGTCAATGACGAGGTCCTCATGGACAGCCATCAGGTGCTGGCTGCCACACAGCTTGCATATGAAGGCCGGGTAGTGGATCAGCAGCTTCTTGTCACCAAGGAGTGGATCATCAATAGCGTGCAGCGGCCGAAACACATCACTCGGGTGCGGAGCCAGAAGACCGCGAACCTTATGCGAGTCCATCCCAAGCTTGCGATTAGAGCAAGCTCGTGATGCCAATGTGATATGGGGTGAGGTGGTTGACCATTCTTGCTCTAATGCCAATGACCATTCTCACCCCATATCACATTGGCATCACGAGCAGACAGAAGAGTGACTTGCAGCTGACCAAAACACTGCTTGGAGATGAAGGTTGGGTGCAGCAACTGGAACTTCATTGACTCCTTGACATTGGCGATAAACGGCGAGCCCAGAGCTCCAGGAGCACGTCAACCGAGTCTTTCACACACAGAATCTCCTTAGCATAACTATTAGGGATCAGAAGCATCAGAATAAAGCTCGCCTTTGCAGCAACTTCCCTTTTCTTTACAGGATTTGGATGTTCATCGGGATCATCACTATAATAGACATCGTCATCATCGTCATCATCCTCCTCTTCTATCCTGAGTGCATCTTGTGAGAACTCCCCGCTTGCAGGGTGATGGAACCGGGTACGGAGCAGCCGCTGGCTAGACCACGGACGGAGGCGATAGAGCAGCAGACGTGTCACGATAGATGGATCAGGAGCAACAGGCGGAAATTGCAGATCCGGCATGGCTGGCACGACAAGAACAGCTGGTTGAGCCGAGAAATCCGTGAATGGGCCAGCGGGCAGAGGAACAGATGGCTGGTCCAAAGTCAGCTGAATAGGCGGATCCGCCAGCAGGGAAGTATCTAGACCAGGCTGGACCAGACTGAAGATGACAGTCCAGCTGACCGTCATCTTCAGACTAAAGATGACGGTCATCTTCCCAGACTAAAGATGACAGTCCAGCAGGGAAGTATCCATCTTCAGTCTGGGAACGACGATGGCTCGATCTGGTAGTGATATTGCCAACGGACTTGGCTGAGGGCTTCGCCATTGTGCGATGATGAGATCGCGAAGGACTACCTGAACTGGCAGAGACGCTGGGGATACTGAGCACGTAACTGTTATTAAAAAGTCGTATTTTCCGAAACTTCGAGTGACGACTAGTTTATAAGCTGCTTGTACGCCATTGGTCAGAGCCTCCATCTTTATCCTCCAATGCTTCTGTTGAGTGCTTGTTGTAGATTTCCATTGGGAGTAGACAAAGACAGCGGACATCCAGCACAACCTGATCCAGAACCTTGGGATTCTTGGAACCCACATAAGTCGGAGGAATTTCCACTGGAGAAAACATTAAGGAAAAGCCGACATGTAGTGTTCGATGTGTAGAATCCAATTGTAATAAAGGATCGATGGCCAGGAGAGAAATTGGTAGGGAAACAGAGATAAGAAAACCCCGTCAGGAGCCATGGCGGCCTTGCAATTGTCATATGCCATATACCAGTATCCATATGGGATATGCCATCATTGCGAGCATGCTTGGTTCGCAAGTGCCCTTTGCTTTCTAGCTGACAAGATCAGGTTATCTATATGAAGGCGTACAGCGCGAGGGAGGGTCGGGCGAGGGTGCATTGGAGCAAGGGACGAGGAGGAGTGGGAGATAGAGGAGGAGGGAGAGAATAGCCATGAAGATGGGGAGGAGGCGGGCCGATGAGGAGGGCAACGGAGAGTGCGATGGGGAGTATGATGAAGAGTATGAGGAGGGGGATGAGGAGGATGAGGAGGACGAGGGGGAAGAAGGGGAAGAGGAGGAGGAGGAAGATGAGGAGAAGGAAGAGGATGAGAAGGATGGTGAGGAGGATGAGGAGGGAGAGGAGGGTGAGGAGGGAGAGGAGGATGAGGAGGGAGAGGAGGATAATGAGGAAGGGTAGGTACAAGAAGAGCTCGAACATGAAGTGGAAGAGCCCGAATTTGGTACTTTTGAGTTTTGCCCTGGCCCATTATAGAGCCCTACCTTTTCCCTCCCTTTCCCATGGATTTCCCCTCCATTTCGCCTCTATTTCCCTCCCTTTCCCCTTTCTTTTGTGCACCCTTTCTCCTCCCTTTCCCCTCCCGTTTCCCTGCCTTTCCCTTCCATTTCCCCTCCATTTCCTCTCCATTTTCCCTCCCTTTCCCCTCCCTTTCCTATCCCTTTCGCCCCTCTTTTCCCTCCATTTCCCCTCCCTTCCCTTCGAATTCCCCTCCCTACCCCAGAGCGGACAGGTGTGTCCCAGAGTGGACAGGTGTGCCCTATCGTGGACAGGTGTGCCCCATAGTGGACAGGTGTGCCCTAGAGTGGTAAAATATCCAGCAACAGCGGTACATGAACCAAGGAGAGCTCCTCCCGTGACCCACAGAAAGGGGTCCCTCTTATGAGTCTAACGAGCCCCAGCAGTGTGCAAGTCTAGATGGTGCGCTTCTCAGTGCTAGTCTAGATGGTGCTCTACTCAATGCAAGTCTAGAGGGGGAGGAGCATGGGAGCTGGCCAAGGTGATAAACTAGCCGAAATATGCAAGAAGAGGCTCGGGTGTTCCAATGCATTCAAGACAGCCACATCTCTATCTCAATGTGGAACCTAAGTTTCCATACTATCTTGTCCCATTCCTTCATCAAGCCATCATGATATATTGAAGAGACATGGCACACCATGGCTAGGCCCATAGCCTGAGTTACAATAGACTCCGTTTTTGCATTGTAGTTAAAAAGGGTCTCTCTCTCTCTCTCTCTCTCTCTCTCTCTCTCTCTCTCTCTCTCTCTCTCTCTCTCTCTCTCTCTCTCTCTCTCTCTCTCACTCTCTCTCTCTCTCTCTCTCTCTCTCTCTCTCTCTCTCTCTCTCTCTCTCTCTCTCTCTCTCTCTCTCTCTCACTCTCTCTCTCTCTCTCTCTCTCTCTCTCTCTCTCTCTCTCTCTCTCTCTCTCTCTCTCTCTCTCTCTCTCTCTCTCTCTTTCTCTCTTTCTCTTGGTTGTTATGTGTGCATCAATTGTTCAAAATTAGCCAGGTATAGAGAAAGTTGACACCAGGAGGTACGTGTAGTAAGATTACATACGAGTCCCTACACATTCCACCTCCACCAATAGCACCCCATGCAGTTTCCACACACAACGCCTGCAAACAAGACTCGCATGGAAGCAGCTCCACCAAGGGAACACCCACGTGAAATCAACCATTCCTCCACTGCTCATTAAGAAGCCAAGGACATCACGTTAACCTCTTGGGTCCTCCAAATATGTTCTTGAAATAAGTGTCGACAGGGTTTTCGAGCGCTGCAAAGGACAAGGGAGCAAGCGGTCACAAAATTGGTTGTGAACAGAGTGTCATGCCATGTGATGAAGTGGGCCAAAGCTGAATGGAGTGATGGTTGCATGTGCAGCATAACAGCATACCATCGGTGTTACAAGTACACAAGTGTTATCCTCCCTAAGAGCTGACCTAGCTAGGTTATACAAACATAATTTACGTAACTATAGACATGTATGGTAGTTGACACACCCCCTAGCCTAGGTAGAGCCAGTGTTTAACAAACCAGGGCAGAAATTCTAGTCTGGCCTCTGGTGGATGTAACAAAGCAGCTCGAGGTAGCACTTCTTGTCTGACCACTGAGACAAGGGCCACAGGGCTAGTCAACAAGTGTAGCAAGACAAGCAGGCATAGAATAGCAAGTACAAGCCAGTATAGCATAGATTAGGATACAAGGCACAGAGCTGCTACTAAGACTAGACCAAGCTGAGTACAGAACTGTTGATGGTTACTAGGCGGTAGTGCCTTGGTCTAGATATCAGCAGTGTTGGCCTCTGGGGCCAACTATACTACACGAGCCTGACCGCGCAGCTGCAACTCACGCAGCAGGAAGTACCATAGCTGGATGTGCTTCGCTCTGCCCTCAAGTCGAGCCTCCTGATGCAGGAGGATCATGGCCCTATTGCCAGCAAACAGGACTGGAACAGACCTAGGCAGCTCACCTAATTCGGTGAGCAAGAACGTCAACCAGCGGAACTCCTAAGTGGCCAAACCGTCAACCCACAACGCATCTGTGTGTCCAGTAAGTACCACTGGCTCTCGTCTTCCTAGTACAATCCCTCGTCTTGATGTACTCGCCAGATACCGCAGCATCCTCTTGGCAGCCGACCAGTGGACTGCCTCCCTGTCGAAATAGAACGAGCAAGGATTTTGAGAGGGTACGCTATATTTGGTCGAGTGCAGGTCGTCAGGTACATAAGGCAACCCACCGGCTCTGCATACTAATGGGCTCGACCGGCTCAGCCGGAACAGGGTCAGAGAGCTTGTGATCCACAAGCAGAGGGGTGGGATGTGCTGAGGAGAACTAGGGTTAACCTGTCACACGATCGAATGGGTCGAGGAAAAGTTACACCATGGATTGACACAAGGCGCTTTTAGATTTCCAAGGTACATCAGGTAACCAGGTTTATCTTATCCAAAGGGAATAGACCCTTCTAGAAATAGAATCACCCTGCGTACAGCCATGCGAGGCTATTGGCTTTAAGGGTTTACGGCAGGATTATGCTAGATATAGCTCGCCAGTACATCTCGAGCCTGGTCGGTAATATAATTATAATAATATGATCAACCAAAGGATAATCGAAAATGAGGAATAGGAACCAAATGAGATGAGATAAAGATCAAAGGAATCAGGATTAAGAAAAAGGATGAGATAGAGGAAAATAATGGAAATGAGAAAGAAGTGTAACAAAGCAGCAAGTGTGGTGCGGAGCATGTCGTGCCACTGACGGGGCGCCTAACGTAGTCCGTAGACAGGGCGGCGCAGGCTCCACTGTGTTCTAGGTGAGAAGGACCCAGAGAAGCCTAGTGGGCGCTAGAGGTAGATTTATTCGTGCAGACTACCCTACACAATGGTTGTGGAGAAGTCAAGTGATTGAAGCTTGTAGTGACGCTGCTCGACTAGGCGAAGGAGCACCCGAAGAGTAGTCATCTATGGGGTAGGGGAGAAGGTCAGGAACAAGTCCACACCCTCTCACTGACTAAAGCCTCTAGCCACGTAACGCGCCTGAACTTCGCCAGCTCTTCAGGTGCGCGCTTCACCTTGTATATACACATGCTATCGACTACGTTCGCCTTAGGCGGGGGAACTTCGTCGACGTAGGTGCCTGTAGATCTGTAGGAGCCAGCTCTACCTCCATGGCTTGTATCTGCTGGGCTGCCCAGGCACCCGACATCGCCTCAGCGTAAGAGCGCGAGATAGGGATGTCAAGGTCATCCGAGTCGCCCTCTTGGGATATAAGCATGGCGCAGTGATGAGGTACAGTGGTATTAAGGTAACCAAGCTTGTACTGTCTATCCTCGACATCATTGCCAAGAGCAAGTGCACCCCCGACGGAGAACAGGCAGGGTCAGAGACTAGAGCTGCAACATAGTCAAGGCGGTGGCTAGCAGCGAAGTCAACAACAGCAGCGATAAGTGCAGAGATAGTCTCAGGAGGAGTGGTAGGGTCAGTGACAAGCGACACAAGCAAGCAAGAGGTGGTAGGACGAGCAGTGTGAGCAACGTCAGAGGGAGGAGCAGAGGTCAGGGTTAGGAACGATTGGGGAGGGAGCGGTAGGACGGGGACTAGAGGAGCACGAGAATGAAGGACCAGAAGGTGGACACTAGCACGAGGAGAGACAGCACGAGCGCCAGGGGACGACGGACCCAGTGGGGAAGGACGGGGGACTGGGGACGAGTTGGGGCGGGGGACAGGACAGGAGACGGAGGAGAGCGAGAGGGGAAACGAGTCGGAGAGGAGTCTGAGGGGGGGGGAACAGCGGGCCGTAGACAGGGTCAGGCGAGAGGGAGGCACAATAGCAGGGATGGGGGTCGGTCAGGGGAACCGGAGGACAAGCGAAGGAGACAAATGGCAGCTGGAGATGAAGGGCAGTGGCTAGTGCTGCGGCTGGTGCTGTTGCTGATGCGGCTGCCGCTGTTGCTGCTGATGCGGCTGCCACCGCTGCTGCTGCTGCTTCTGCGGCTCCCTGTCCTCTCCAGGACCAGCTCCACTTCGGCTACCACCTGTACTCTTCGAAACAGCATCCCCAAGACTACAACCCCTAAAGCACCACCCACATAACCAGCACCCCTAGAACCAGTACCCCCAAAGTAAGCACTGATAAATGTGTAGTGTTCTGTGGTGTGATTTGCTCTAGCTGGCTGTGGGCTATTGGGATTTGGGCAAAAGAATTGGGTTGGTTGGCTAGGTTTGATCTCGTTACCTTTCCAACCCATACTACCCCATACCCACTACAACATCTTTGATGTTGCAGCTGTGGCACTTGGGAGTGTTAGGGTTTGGTTCAGGGCGAGGGTTGGTGTTGGTTGACAATCAAATACTCGAACTTTTCCAGATCGAACTGCTTCCCTTCTCGTTTTTACTAGGTGATTCATGGCTGCCTAGCCAAATTACCAGAAGACCCCCTCACACTGATTTCGTCATAATCGGCGGCTCAGATCTTGGTTATGAACGTGCTTTACCATTCTGGAAAGTAGAGATTAAGACCTTTCCAACGCGTATAAGCTCATTTCTAGAATTTACCTGAGCAGCACGCAATGATTCGTTGAGGTCGTCAGACTTAATCTCTAATTAGTTCTCTCCAGATTTGCACGATTTCCATCAGTGGTATCAGAGCCACGGTTAGAGGACGTTCTTTCCTCCATTGGAAGAGATCTAGAGAGGCTTGAAGTGCTCCAGATCTAGGGTTTGACATGCCCCAAAAGTTGGATGGCCCTCCTAGGTTTACCGGCTCGGACTTTTCGCTATGGAGGTTCCAGTTCACACTATGGCTAGGTATTAAGGACCTAGAAAGTGTGTTGGATGGATCGGAGAAGCGACCACGAGCTGACTCTGGGGAGGCGTCTACTGGAGCAACCAGCCAAGTGGGATCCGGAGCTGGGGGAGCATCGTTGAGTGGGGTGAAGGAAGGAGGAACTGCTGCAATCCGAACCGGAAGGTCGCAACCAAGTAGCGAGGAGTTGCTCAAAGCTCAAGAAGCATGGGATCGGAAGGATCGCCAGGCTTTTCAGTACCTGTGTTGGGCTTTGGAGGGGCAACTTGAGCTTCTTAAGATGCTGATTGACCTGAAGGGGAAGGAAGGTGCAGCGGCTGCAGCTTGGAAAAGAGTACAAGATAGGCACTTGCAGAAAGGGCTTCTAAGCGTGCTTACTTGGCGTAAGCGGTTTTACACCATGGAGCGGAACTATGGGGAGGGGGAGACCATGGTTCAGTATCTCCAGAGGGTGGATGAGAATGTAAGGGCTTTGGAGGAGCTGGATTACACGGTAGATGAGAAGGAGATCATCTATACTGCGCTCCAAGGGTTGGATCAAGCGGCTAATGAGGCATTACTACAGTACCTTCACCTCGAGCAACAGAAATGGACCAAGGTGTGGATTTGGGAGGTTCTAATTTCTGATGAGGCTCGCAAGGTTGATGCTGGAAGAGGTCTAGAAGGAGGCATGGGTGCAGCAGATAAAGCTTCCTTCAGGAAAGGCTATCAACAGCAAGGAGGTGGGGGGAAGAAGAAAGAGTTGGACAAATGCCTTGTGCCCGGATGCAACAAAAAACACTCTTGGAAGAGTTGCTGGAGTAGGCCTGAGGGATGGAAGCCTCACGGCTACTCTGGAGAGGCCCACCAGTGACCAAACCTGATTGGGTGGAGAAAAGGATGAAGAAGGGGCTCTGGAATAAGAAGGGCAGCAAGGGAGCAACGGCCGCAGCTGCTAAGGATGAGAAGGGGAAGGGCCAAGACGACTCCTCCGATGATGGTTTCTCGTTTCTCATGCTAGGGCAGGATGCAGCTCTCGCTGGTCGTGCATTGGCTGATCCCAACTTCCTGGTTCTAGACTCTGGAGCAACATCTGGGATGCTTCCTCGCCGTGATCTCTTCACCTCCTACCATCCTCTCCCACCAAATTCGAGGAACGTGATTGTTGGGAGCGGAGATTTGCTGCAAGCAATTGGCATCGGCACGATCACCATTAAGGGGAAGGAGGGGGAGCTAGTGGGTGTGAAGGGGGTCCTTCACGTCCCTGGTTTGGCTGCAAACCTCCTTTCATGCTCGCAGCTGGCTAAACAGGGATACATCTGCACTTTCACGGAGGGAGGGTGTACTGTTAGAAAGGGTGAAGCTGTGGTGATGGAGGCAAAGCTGGACAAGGGTTTATACCTTGTTCCAGCTTGTGTGCCTAATTGTTACAAGGCACATATGGTTTTTTCTGAGGAAGCCGCTTGTAGCACTCGCTGGAGGCAGGTGGAAACGGTGTCACCTGAGTTGCTACACCTTCGCATGGGGCACGCGGGGAAGCAGCAACTGCTGGAGTGTGTGAAGAAGGGGGAGCTGAAGGGGGTGGAGGTCAAGAAAGGAGCTGGGCAGCAGAGCAAATGTCCCGACTGCACGTCTGGAAAGCTGCCTAGAACCTCATTCCCTATCTCCTCTGATCATGCCTCGACTCCCCTTGAGCTGGTGCACACGGATGTGTGTGGACCGATGCAAACTCCTGACCGGGAAAGGGGCAGCAGGTACTTTGTCACCTTTCTTGATGACTTCAGTCGACTTAGCTGGGTCACCTTGGTGAAGACCAAGGATGAGGTGGCAAAGGTGTTTAAGCGGTGGATACGCTATGTGGAGAGGGAATCAGGGGCCAAGGTAAAGGTGTTAAGGTCAGATCGGGGTGGAGAGTACCTTGGGAAAGAACTTCAAACCTTCTTGGAAGAAAAGGGTATTACCCACCAGCTCTCTGTACCTTACACGCCGCAGCAAAATGGGGCAGCGGAGCGGCTTAACAGGACCTTGACCGATTTGGCTCGGGCCATCCTTTCCCATGCCGAGCTTGATAACACTTGGTGGGGGGCAGCAGTGCAGTATGCCAACTGGGTGAAGAACAGGATGGGCAGCAAGGGGCTTGGAGGCAAGAGCCCATACTCCTTATGGACAGGGAAGGTGCCGAATGTTTCCATGGCACGAGTGTGGGGGTGCATGGCACAGTATAAGGTACCTGACCAGCAAAGAAGGAAGCTAGATCCTAAGGCACAGTGGGGGATCTTCCTTGGGGTTTCTGAGAGGAGCAAGGCTTGGGTGCTGTGGAGTGTAGCTGACCAGCGTGTGATGGAGAGCCGTGATGTGGTTTTCCATGAGGGGCTGAATTTTAAGGGGTGGAAGGAGCATGGTACAAGCCAAAGTGGGACTTCCATTCAAGACCCTCATACGGCTTCTATCTTTGAGGGGGCATGGGAGGACCCTGGAGATGAAGGGGAGGAGCAGCAGGAGGAGCCAGAACCAGCTGATCCTAACCATGAGGAGTCCCGAGAGACAGATTCTACCCCTCAGCCAGCCACGCAGGCCGATGCGCGTGATGATAAGCCGGAGCAGCATGTGCCTTCAACTCCATCGAGAAGCAGTTGGCAGCAGTTGTTGGACCAGCAGCTGTCCAAGACTCCGAGGACTCCAATGAAGAGGGTGACTTGGGAGGAGAAGCTGCGGAGGCTGGAAGAAGGAGAGGCAACACCTCTGCGACGCAGTGCTCAAATTTCCCAGCCACCTGAAAGGTTTACCCCGGGGCACATTGCACGCATGCATGATCATCTTGTGTCTGATTTGGATGATTGCATGCTTGTGGACATGCATGGGCATGAGTATGCTCTTGATGTGTGTCTAATGGGTCAGGTGCATGAGCCTAGGTCAGTCCACGAGGCGCTGAACCGTCCAGAATGGGTTGAGTCCATGCATGAGGAGCTTGAGTCTCACAAGGTAAATGGATCATTTGAGCTGGTTGATCCAGCAGTGGTACCACCTGGTTTGGAGGTCCTCAGGTGTCAATGGGTTTGGAAATACAAGCATAACCCTGATGGTACTGTTGAGAGGCCTAAGTCCAGATTGGTGGTGATGGGAAACACGCAGAAATTGGGAGTACACTATAAAGAAGTGTACTCTCCAGTTGGGAAGCATGCGACCTTGAGAGGTATGCTTGGAATTTCAGCTGCTTTGGGGCTTGATATCCATCATATGGATGTCAAGACAGCCTTCCTCCATGGGGATTTGGAGGAAGAGCTTTACATGCGGCAGCCCCCTGGTTTTGATGATGGGTCTCACCGAGTGTGTCGCCTCAAAAAGTCCATTTATGGGCTAAAGCAAGCCCCACGACAGTGGTACCTAAAATTTGATGAGGCTCTCATGGATTTTGGGTTTGAGAGATCTGAGTGTGACCCTGCCTTGTACCACTTTGTGAGAGATGAGGAGCGGATCTCCTTATTCCTCTATGTGGATGACCTTTTGCTCCTATGCTCTAGCAAGGCTTTGCTAGATCGAGTGAAAGAGTTCTTGTCCTCGCGTTTTCGCATGAAGGACTTGGGGGAGGTGAAGTACTACTTGGGAATGCAAATTGAACGTGATGAGAGTGGTATCTTGATTCATCAAGAGAGGTACATTCTTAACATGCTTCAGTCCTTTGGTCTCTCAGAGGCCAACCCCGTGCGTACTCCTCTCCCAACAGGCTTTGATGTGCATGCCTATGAGGATGAACCCTTGCTGCGAGATGAGCTGGTCAAGCTCTACCAAAGCATTGTGGGATCCCTCATGTATGCTTGTACTACCACACAGCCACAGATTGCCTTTGCAGTCTCACAGCTATCTAAGGTCGCCTCTTGTCCTAAAATGTTTCACTTGCAGGCCGCTAAGAGAGTGCTGAGGTACCTGAAAGGTGGTGTCAAGTCAGGTATCTTCTTCCAAACACAGCCCCAGTCTCAGGTCCAGCTAGTTGGCTTCAGTGATGCTGACTATGCTGGAGATTCCGCAAGTCGCAGGAGCCACAGTGGGTATGTGTTCTGTCTGAATGGGGCAGCTATCTCTTGGCAGAGCAAGAGGCAGCCCGTGGTAGCACTCTCTACCACTGAGAGTGAGTATATAAGTCTGTGTCAGTGCATTCAGGAGGGTGTGTGGCTGAGGCGTTTGTTTGGGGAGTTTGGCCATGATCATGCTGGTGGTGTGCCTGTGTTTGTGGATAATCAGTCTGCCATTGCCCTTGCACAGAATGCATGCTTGCATGGCCGCACCAAACACATGCAGGTCCGGTGGCATTTCATTCGGGAGATGGTAGCTGCGGGTGAGGTGATTTTGCAGTGGTGCCCTACCAACCGTCAGGCTGCTGATATTCTTACCAAGTCTCTTCCATTTGAGCGTCATGGTGTGTGCATGACCTTGCTCGGGATGCAGCCCCATGATGACAGAGTTCCCGCAGCAGATGCCGGCGTCTTGGTGCTCCTCTCCTTGGCGGACTCCATGCTCTGGGTGGCCCCAACCCTGGGCAAGGGGGAGTGGTGTGAAGGCATTTGCCCTATGGTGTTGAGCCACACCCAGCACGAGCAAGGGGGAGTGATAAATGTGTAGTGTTCTGTGGTGTGATTTGCTCTAGCTGGCTGTGGGCTATTGGGATTTGGGCAAAAGAATTGGGTTGGTTGGCTAGGTTTGATCTCGTTACCTTTCCAACCCATACTACCCCATACCCACTACAACATCTTTGATGTTGCAGCTGTGGCACTTGGGAGTGTTAGGGTTTGGTTCAGGGCGAGGGTTGGTGTTGTTTGACAATCAAATACTCGAACTTTTCCAGATCGAACTGCTTCCCTTCTCGTTTTTACTAGGTGATTCATGGCTGCCTAGCCAAATTACCAGAAGACCCCCTCACACTGATTTCGTCATAATCGGCGGCTCAGATCTTGGTTATGAACGTGCTTTACCATTCTGGAAAGTAGAGATTAAGACCTTTCCAACGCGTATAAGCTCATTTCTAGAAGTTACCTGAGCAGCACGCAATGATTCGTTGAGGTCGTCAGACTTAATCTCTAATTAGTTCTCTCCAGATTTGCACGATTTCCATCAAGCACCCCCATAACCAGCACCCCCATAGCCCACTGCTACCTGCTGTTGCCACTGTTTCTACTGCTGCTGCTGCGGCCGCTGAGGCGACTGCGGCTGCTGCTGCTGCTGCTGCGGAGGTGAGGAGGGAGGCTGTTGAGGTGCCTGGGCTACCGGGGCTGGGGGGGGACACGCCGCCGGGACAGCAGGTGCACCCCCAGCAACGAAGCCCCTGGAGTCAACACACTCCCCCAGGGGCCCAACCGAGGGGAGCGGAGAGGTGTGAGAGACACCAGACGGGGCAAGGGCAAGGAAGAGAGGAGGAGGAGGTGGGAGGGGTGCAGCAGGCGGGGCAGGGGCAAGGAAGAGAGGAGGAGGAGGGACAGGAGAGCTGCGGTGAGAGTAGCGCGGGTAGTAGGGGAGCATCTCGGCGAAGGTAACGTTACGAAGGCGGAAGAAGAAGTGGTGTACCAAGTGGTAAAACATCCAATCAAGGGCATCAAGAGGAAACCCGATGAAAACATAGCGAAGAGTGCAGGCTGAGAGCTTGTCCGCGCCGATGGCACGGCCGTGAGCAAGGCTACCCCAGACGTGGAACGCAGAGGCATCACCAAGGGATCCGGCCCAAAGAAGGGTCAGCGAAACCTGTGGGTGCAGGGAGCGCGGCTAGAGGTTAAGCTGATGAGCTGCGTAGCGCATGGCGAACGGCTACTGAAAATGGGGTGCACTGGCGTGGACCAAGGAGGTGTGAGCTACCTTGATGACCAAGCTGATGCGTTGCTCAGCGAATCCATTCAACTGTGGGGAGTTCAGCAGTGTGTGCGTCTGGCGGATGCCATCTGCACAAAAGAACCGACCTAGACAACTGTATGCAAACTTGCCACCACGGTCAAAGTGTTGACGGACTACAGGCAGGCGACGCTGGGTGCGGACGCAGCCACGGGATGAGAGCGTCATGGGGGGTGGGGGGAGGGGGGAGGGGGGAGACGACCGACGGTTTCGCGATGGGCCAGGGAGGGTGGCGAGCCAGTGAGAGGCAGCGACAAGTGCGAGCTGGTGTCGCTAGCTGGTCGACTGCCGGCTGGCGGCAGCGAGCTGGCAGCAGCGAGCTGGTGGCAGCTGGTTGGTGGCAGCGAGCTGCAAACTGGCGGCTGCTGGTTGGCAGCGCCAAGCTGGCAGCGGCGAGCTGGCAGCAGCGTGGTGGCAGCGGCTAGGGAACGAGCTGGCGGTGGCTAGCTGGCTGCGAGGTCGTGGCAGCGAGTGGGCGACGGGCTAGCTAGCTGATGGACGGCTAGGAGGTGGGGGGAGCAGCGCGATCCTAGGCGCTAGGGGCGGAAGCGTGAAAGGGGGGGTTGAAACATAGCTCTAGATGCCATGTTAGAATAGCGAGAAAAGTTTATTAGGAAGGGAGAAGGGGGGGATACAAGTACACAAGCGTTATCCTCCCAAGTAGGTTACCTAGCTAGGTTATACAAACATAACTAACCTAACTGGATGCATATAGAGCCAAGGGGCATTACTACCGGGCTCTTACTAATGTTGTATACACTACCGTGCACCCCTTCCAAGTCCATGCTCGCTGCTGCGTTGTACGCCTGGGATAGTCTCTCGAAGGTGGACCAAGGTAAAGACAGTTTGATACAATGCAAAATACTTGAAGAGTTAAACTCGGCTCAAATGCACGGGTGAAAAGGTCAGAGGCTACATCAAACCACTGCTACGACTTGCACAACCAGTTCCTCAGGAGCGGTGGGAGCTTTAGCAACGAGCTCATCATCACTGTGCTTCTCGCCGGACTTAGCTCCGACTGGCGCATGTGCAAGGCCTTCTTGCGCATATAGGGAAACACATCAGAAAGCTCTCTTCACACGAAGCATATTGCCGAGCAGCAAGTTATGGACCTGTCCAACACAAGCAATAAGGCAAAGACAGAGAAGTTCAGCTTCTGTGCCAGACAACGGAATGAAAGCGCTAAAAATGGGAGAATCGTAAACGACCCTTTTGCAAGTTTTGCAAGAAACCTGGGCACTTCATCGACGATTGTCAGAAGCTCGAAGACCGTCGCCTAGTAGAAGTCAACTCGAGATGTGCGGAAATCTATATTGAAGTGCCACGATGAACGATTTCAATCCCGGGTCGTTGCCTCTTCTTCGTCGCGATTTGCATATCAACAATGACCCATTGTCAACTACATGGTCAGGGCTTTACTGGAAAATGACGCTCACTTGAGCCACCATTGATATCGACGAAGACGAAGCTGAAGCTAAACGACAAGTCGTTCCGCGCACCCTGAATGTGCAGCCGTATGCTCACATGGCGAAGCGAAACCATCCCCACAACTTCATACAGTGACGGAAAGTATTGTCCGCATGTTTGTGCCTTAGACGAATTTTGGAATATTAAGGGGTCATGCACATTAAGCCTTAATCTTTCGGTGTGCCCACTGTATGTAGATTGGGGTAAAGCTCTAGGCCCATGCCTTACATCTGACGAAGATACTGATGTTTACAGCAAATAGCAAAAATTGTCAATCATGGTACATCCGGACAATTAGTGCCAGGCGCAAGCAGCAAGTTTCAACAACCCCAAACTAGTACCTAGTCCACCGCCCTTTCGCCTTAATCACCGCCCTCACCCTCCTGGGCATGCTTTCTATCAGGTGGGTGCACACATCCGCCAGGATCTTTTCCCATTCCTCATAGACACGCTCCCAAAGGTCCAGCATACCACTGGGAGGCCTCTCGTGCTTGGCCAGCTCCCTCTTGAGATGAGCCCATAGATGCTCTATTGGGTTGAGGTCAGGTGATGATGATGGCCACTCCAGCACCCCAAACTTCTACTCTCAAAGCCACTCCTGTACGATACGCGACTTGTGCTTGGGGTCGTTGTCGTGTTGGAAGATAACTTCAGACGGTGAAAGCTGGTAAAAGTCGATCGTACTATTGAGCTCGTCCTGCAGTATACACAGATAGAGTGGTCCGTCCATCCTACCATCTATTTTGCACATGAAACCCGCTCACTTATACGACATGCAGCCCCAAATCATCAAGCAGCCGCCCCCGTGTTTGACGGTCTGCTTGATTTGGTGGCTTTGGAGGGCAGTACCTTCGCGAACCCAGGCATATGAGCGTCCTTCGGAAGCAAAACAATTGATCTTGGTCTCATTCGACCAGATCACTCGCTTCCAGTTGTCAACCGTCCAGTCGGCGTGGGCACGGGCCCATTCTAGCCTATCGCGTATGTTTTTTCGAGAGAGTCGCGGCCTCTTGGGCTGCTGGATTGCGACAAGTCCGCTGTCATTCAAGGCGTTACGCATCGTCCTAGGATGCAACGTGATGTCGTGCTGCATCTCGACGATCTTCGCCGCGCGAGCAGAGGTTTTTGCCTCCCCGCTGGTAATCGACCGAACTATGCCGTGGCAAACTCTCTCTGTCACTGAGCGAGGGCGACGAGCTGAGGGCATCGTAGGACGCACGTCATCGCGGCTAGACTCAGCAATCGCCTTGAGCCCATAATCATGGACCGTACTCTTCCCCACGCCTAGATGTTTAGCGATACTACGAGTGCTATACCCCCTCCGCAACAGGGTAATGATCCGTGCGCGACGCGCGTCATCTAACGGTTTCATGACGGCCTAGTCGTAGCAGTGGTCCTAGCCTATCTCCTGACTACTCGAAAGTTGCGAGGGCAAGTTTGTAGAATAAGGGAGGGTAGGAGATAGATCTAGTACGCCACTTGGCATGAACTGTCTGGATGCACCCACGCGAACCAAATCTCGTCCCCAGTACAAAATCTACCCCTACAAAGCCGAAACCCTTAACCGTTGCACATACTACAATCCTACTTTACAGCTGAGGTTCAAATATGATCTGTAACTACACGAAAAGCCACCAAAACATTACGAGAACATTTGTAAGTCAATTATACGGGCGATTCGTTCACCTGTATCGTGGTTCCTCTATAGTTGCTGCTGGCACCTGCACTTGGGAATATGCTACTGGAGTTTGACGACATAGGGGTATCCTTGCATTTAAAGCCCAGGTCCCAAATTAGCTCGTGAAAGTCAACGCCCTCTGGTCCAGGCTCGGAGGAGTTTGGGTGGAGGCTCGGTTGCAGGGATTTCTGGCCCATTTTGGCCGCGAAGGAAGGAGTACTCGCGAAACAGGAATACGAAACACCCAGGGGGATTTGAGAGAGTGCGAACTTCGCAAACCAAAATGCAAACCCAATAAAATGTGCCCGCGGGAAAAGGACAAAATCACCTGTGCATCGCCAGCATTCATGCGCGCTAGGGATTGCTGCAACCACCCCTCGCCAGCTCGCGAGCACACCAGCATCAACCACGCTCAGGGCGTGGAACATACGGTTACATAACCAAGTAAGTTCGAACTTTGGCAAGGTGGAGAGCGGTTTGATATGTTGGAAATACATTCGAACAAATATTGAATGGGTAGGGAGAGGTGGACGTCCACACGTGAGAGTTCGGAACTGTATGTCTCACGCCCATATAGAAACAAGCAAGGAGCACCCTTAATAGCCCAGGCGTAACTCAGACTACGCGCGCTTGTCATTGGACAAGATTGGACAAGAACAGTATCTACCTAGACGCGCCAGACAGATTCCCGCAGCATAAGTAACCTCGCCATATTGGACAATTCCACCTGGCAGGAGCGTGGCTGAGCGGATAAGGTTAGAAAAGACGCCCGGAAAAGCCGCATCGCAAGTGTGTGCGGCTAGTGTGCGGCGCGGCGTGCCGCAATCGCCGGAGGAACAGAAAAGACGCGCAGCCGTGGGCTTAGCCCACCGGAAGAGGGCGGAGGTGGACCCGCGCCCTAGCTGACACTACA